TTCTCTGAAGCCCAGCGGAAGAGGGGCTCCGGGCCGGGCGGTGCGAGGGGGTCCCGGCCTGCGCCACTACAGCTGCTGCCGTTCAGCCCGGAGGTGGCAGCATTTCACTGGTGGGCAAAGGAGGCCTGGGGTACAGTGGGGACATTCATTTGGCTAAGTGCTTTGGGATCTTTCTGGCTGAAAGCACTGCGTTTAAAAAAAAAAAAAAAAAGAAAAAGAAAAAGAAAAAAAAGTTAAGGTCATAAGGTGTCTGAGATTTTTGAAGAGCCAATGTAACAGTGGTCTTTTATTATTAATGAGTTTACAGCCAAGAGCTGTCCCATAAATGAGCAATGCGATTTAGGGATTTTTATTTTTTTTCCTTTAAAAGTAGGAATGCTTGAGACATTAAAGGTGGTCTGGCAGCTTTTGCTGTGAGACTTCTCTTCGTGTTGATCTGTACACTGGCTTTATATCAACATGAGAGCACCGCCTCCACGCAGACAGTCCAGGGTCAGCACTGTGTGTTTGAACTGGATGGCACGCTTCTTCATGCAAGAATACAGTACGTAGCCTGGGGGATAGGGAGAATGTGGTAGGCTGTTTGGCTACATGGACTGTGAGCTACATATAATTGATAAGAAAAGAAATGAGTGTGGAATGCATAGTTTGCACTTAGCGTGCTTTTATTTATTTATCTATTTTGGAGGGATGAGGAGGAAGATGAACTAATACCCCATAAGCCCACAGTGGACGTAATTCAGATATTGGTTCAGGAGCCAGGTTATTAGCAGTTGTGATTAGGTTTTTATTATGTCATTGGTCAGATTAACGTTAGAGTATGGACAGCCTCAGGTCCTTGAGCTTATTTAAAGACCTTCGTATTTTCCACCAACAGCTGTATGAAGTTAAAAAGGATTTCTCTTTCTCAGCTAGTTTATTTGTGAGGTGGTGAGGTTAATGTGGCAATATCCCATGCTTAGTAGAGAGGCTTTTTGGCTTTAAGCATTGTGTATGCTCCCTTCAGATTTATGATTTTGACCCCAGCCTGGCATTATCACACTGTCAGTGGGAGTGCAGGGCTGGTTTGAACCTCCAGCTCTTGGTGGTAATCTCTCTTAATTAGTTTACAGTTGAAACAATTGTCTGTCTTTTTGCCTTTAAACAAGGGAAGTTTGCTCTATCAGTGGTTGATTTCCCTGAGGGAGGAAGTCCTGAGAGCGGTTATCAGGGAGAAAAAAGCTCCGGGCTCCGCTTTCAAAGCAATGCCATGTACGAAGCATGCATCAATCCTGTTAGTACTGCTTATTATTTCACAATGGCGTGTCAGGAATTACGGGCACAGACCTTTCTAAGGACTCTTGCAGACCTTTATGCAGCCTCATCCCAAGTCAGGATTTTGTGGAATTATGGGCTAATAAAAGCTAATTTTACACATTAAATTGCTTTCTTTGAAATTGCTCTTTTAATTGCTGATCTTTCCCTGACTTCTCCACAGATCTCTCCAAGCTTCCTCATTGTCGACTTTCTGCCAAGGAGCCTTCCATGCCTCATCATTAGGGCTAAAATCTGCCATCACTTAACATAACACACAGAGCTTACAACTGGGAGCAGCCCCCTCCCTTGCATGGGAGCACAGACAATAATAGACACTATAGTGGCAGCGCCAATGGGAGTTTTACCATGTATTTTAATGACTTGTGCTTGATTACATTTGCTAGATTGAACCAAAGTTCATTTAGTAATTGGTATGATTCTTAGAGGGTTCACATTTGACATTCCTCGCTCATTAAAGAGCTCCAACAATGGCTGTTACAACTTTCATCTCAACGGTGACCCTCTCAGATATATATCCAGTCTTTTTCTTTTGAGACCCAACCCGGCATTCATTAACACTTAACCATCTGCAGTCAGCCCATCCTAGTACCTTCTCCCTTGCTTTGATGATACAATTAAAAGCCTTCTGTATTATCTCCCTCAGAGTGATAAGTCTAGGTGCGTCAGCTCTCAGCACATGCATTGTTTGTTATTTGATTCTCTCTGTATCAGCTGTTCCTCACGATGGGCTCATTTTTCATATGTTGTAAAGATTAGCTGATGGAGTGGGAGATCAGAGGCATGAGAAGGGAGTGTGGCTTTCGATATTAGTAACCAGATGCTCATTTGAAATGGTGATGGAGTTTGCTGTTATCTGTTAGATTATTTGGCTCCTTTGCTTTTACCTGAAGATAAACTGGTTTAAGCGCTAGTCAGTGAAAATTAGCATCATCTTTAGTGGCTTGTTATGAGTGCTCTTATCAGTCTGGTTTAGTGTGGCTATTCTCTCCTTGAGTCTGGTTTACAAAAATTACAGCTTTGTTTATGCATGTGCCCAAACTTGCCTGTTTGACCTTTGAAGCTGTGATTATAATATTAATCTATGGGACTATTCTGTTGCAAATCACTTAGGTGGTCTGTATTTCAGAGGATTTTCATTGTGGGACCTCCCTCTTGTCCAGCATGATGTTCTGTTATTGTTAGTATATTCTACATTGAAAGCTAACTCACAGTGGCGTTTCAGTACATCTTGTTGTCTGGCTGGTTTTTGTGGGGTTTTTTGTGTGTGATGGAGCTGCAGCTAGGATAGCACTGTGCTACTGTGTGTCCACTCGCATTGATTTTGTATAACTTTGTTACAAAGTTGCTTAGCTACAGAAAAACCTGGTACAATACTTGCATGCAGATACAAACTTCAGCCCGCAAATCCTCAGTGTCCTGCAGTGTTAGCTAAATAGTGTTATTCCAGTTTGCAGGTGGGGAGACTGTATGTGTGAAAGCCGCACAGACACTGGCAACAGAACCAGCATTTATTGAGATGTTCCTGTTTTACACTCTTCTGCTTGATGTCTAGCCCTTGCAGCCTTCCCCTGCCTTGTATTTAATGAGGGTTGTGACAGATCTTGAATAGGGAGTGAAGAACCTGGCATTCTGGCACTAAAGAAAATGTGCCCTGTTTGTCATCTTCAAGTTAAGAATTGGGTTTTTTCCTCCTATTTTTCCCCTATATTTCCCATGTTGTGTCCATTTCTATTTTTTAACATGTTTCTTGCCTTGTTCCATTGTTTTGTTCATTTTCCCAGCTTTCCTCCCTGCTCCATTTCTTTCCATTTTCTCTTTCACCCATTTCAATAAACTATTATATTCATTATGTAATACAAGGGAGCCCTTTTTCTCAGAGAAGATACAAAAATTCTCCCTCTCATAAATGCACAAAATGTAGAAACCATCCTTAGGATGCAGAGCAGGAGGGAGTCTGCTGACTTCCAACTGCAAGACCTCATTAAAATTAGTGGATTCCCTATCCTCTTTGCATAAGGAACATTGCTATTTGGGCTGACTTCCACAGCAACATCTGGGCCACTGATAAGATCAGTACTGGAGCATTGCTAGGTGAGCTCATGTTTTGTTAATGAAGTAATCTACTGAAAGTGCATATATCATTTTTTAGTACCACATACTTTACTGCAAAGTGTCATACTACTGTTGTAGGAGCTTTCCTTTGCAAATGGGACTTAAAGAATTTTGTTATAGTTAATAATATACTTAGCTTGAATTGAATGGCATGCTTGAGAAATGCCACCTAAATTATAAAATTTTAAGACTTACATACTTTGGCATTCAGTGCATTAATTGAGAAATACACTGAAAAATGGCTTACTAGAACACCTGATGTTCTCAGTAGCTTTGGTGTTACTAAATATTGAGTGTGCTAGTATTAGTTTACTACAGATATATATATATATGCATGCCCAAGTTGTGAGTGATCTCTCTGCTGAGCTAACGAAATAATAAAAGTGATAATGATCACAAACATCTGACTTCAGTGTGTTCTGGAATAAGCAAGCAAGGGTTGGATAGAATATACTGGTAAGATGTGTTCATTCAAAATTCATTATGAAATCCAGGTATCAAAGGAGGAAAAATGAAAACAGAGACAATTTCAGGTGTGGATTGAAATTTCTCTCCTTAATAGCCTCTGGACTTTGAGTGCAGTTGCAGATCTCTTGAACAGCCCAGTGTAGTCCCTGACTGTTGTTGTCTTTTGTCTTTTTTAATTTGCAAGCTACATATTCTTGTGGCTTTTCTGTGCTGAGAACTAGTGGTGAGTGTTCAGACAGCCAGAACACTCTTAAATGAGGCTACAGGTGTGTGGAAGGGAAAGTAATATTGGCATAAAATATCTAGCTGCTTTGAGATAGGTTCCAAAAAGGGTTTCCACTAAGACCAGAGAATAAATAAATAGAAGTAATAGAAGTAATTGACAAGTCTTTCTGATTTAAAACTTTGTTCTTAAAATATTGAAGCTATTGGAGATTTCTGAGTTTCTGAAATGCTAACCTGCCACTGGTCTGAAAGCAAAGACTTCCCTGTTTGCTATTGTTTGGCTAATGATGAGAGAGAGTTTTACTGATCTTTTTCATCTTGCTGGACTGGGTAGGCAAACACTTTGTAATTGAGCTGTGGCAGTCATTTGTAATGTGTAGTGTGGGAAAGGTGAGCAGACCCCATCTCCTTCCCTTATTCCCCTCCAGGATGTGTTGGAAAAAATACAGTAGTGTTGTTGTGTTTGCTAGCAGAACATGCACAGCCTTGCATATTAAGGCAGGCACTTAGCCAGAAGCTTTGAATTATTGTACCCTGACATTACCCACTGTAACTTTTAGCACTCTGGGCCCATTACTTTGGCTTCCTGCCCAGTAATGTGCAATTTCCACTTACATAAGAAGATGTAGCAGGAGTAATGACTCCTTGGAGGAGGTGTTTTCTTTCGCAGCAAATCAGCCCAGGGCCAGCAGGTGTAAGTTTATAGGCACAGTCCAATAATGGCAGCCTGCACTGTTCTCCTCTGTTAATCCAGCAGTAGGTGGAAAGAACAGCTCTGCCTTTGCAAACTTTTCACTATCCACTGACTTAATTGCAAAGTCAAGCTCTGATAAATGGCCATGTAAAATTCTATGATTTTCCTTTTTTTTCTTTTCCAGGCACCCCAGAATGCACATCAGAACAGGGCTGATGGATGCCCATCTCTACTGTCTGAAGAAATACGTGGTAGACTTCCTTGTAGAAAACGGGTAAGACACAAAGCAACACACAAGGTAGTAGCAGGTGTTTGCATTGATATGTGGTTCATACCAGAGCTTTTAAAGGAAGATTTTTTTCATTAAATGGGCTAGCATAAAATAGAAATGTAAAAGAAATGAGTTTTCAAAATGCTTTAACTACACTAAAAAGAATGCCAAGCATTATGTCCGAGTTTCTTATTTGGACTTTTTCTTAAAAAAAAAAAAAAAATCTAATAACAGCATAAGTGAAAGCTAAAATTTTTGCCTCATTTCTGCATCCCTTGTTTTCCTAATGTATCTGTGCTTTTTAGCTGCTCATTTCACCAGGGCTCCCCCATTGTTAGAGCTGTGAATACATTTCTGACCTTTGATTTCCCCCACCACAGTCTGTTTTGGCCTCTGCAATCACCTTTTCTCTCCCCCTTCACATCCACCACCGCTGCAGGTGGGCTAACTCTGTAGCATCCTATGTTTTTAGCTTGTGATGTTCCTCTGTCAAAACTCTGAGACCACCCACTGAGAGTAAGAAAAACATCCATTTATGGAAGTGGAGAAGGATCTTAGCTATAATATTTCATGAAACAGACCAGAAAAAAACCCTGTTTATCTTTAAAAAACAAACAAATGAACAACCCCCCTCACATAAGTAGTTCAGTTTTGGAACGATGTCCTGTTCCTAGACTTTTTGTAGTGCTGTCATGCCCATTACATGTATTGAATGCTGTCAGAGTTCTCAAGAGTTTTTCTCCCCTTTTAAGTAAGATGAAAGATAAAGGGGCTAAGTGTTATGTTCATAGTGGTTTTGCTTAGCACATAAACTGACATGTGAAAAAATGTTGGGAGGAGGGGAGATTTGTGGTAGTCTTGACCATATACAAATCTGGTGATGCAGTTGGATATGTGATTGAAGGAGCTCTTCCAGAGTAAAGTTCTGTGAGTGAGTTAAAATTAAGTGGAAAATCTGTGTTAACCTCCAGGGCAATTTCTTACCATGCACAAGAATAAAGCTTATCCGATACTTTGACTGGCACATGGGGGCATTGTACGAGTCATTTTAGTTCCCATTTGTGTATGGGAACATGTCTGACGGGTGAGAAAGCTCCAGGAGCAGCAGATGCTTTAAATCTGGAATAAGCTGTTTATTCAGTGTATTTTAGAAAGTCGGTGACAGTCTGGACTTTTTGTATTTCCTGTGGTAGCGTGAAGCAGTGTTTACACCTTTCTTTTGTCAGAATACAACATGTAGGACTCATTTCTTGAAATCCTAGCCATCTGGTTTTGCTGGGATTAGACATTTCCGGAATACTACACATTTCACACATTCAGTTCTTTTTCCCTGCTATTTCATGCTGTTTTGAATTTAGATCATTAGGTCTGTGGGACAAGGACAGTCTTTGTCAGACATGCTACAGTGCGTGACACAGTGAGGCCTCTAAGTGTAAATAGTGGTGATTTCAGGGCTTTATGCTATTTCCATTGAAACTGGTGAGATCTTTGGCTTTGTCAGTGGTGAGATATTACCTTGTGTTAACCAAAGCCAGCAGAGTGAAATCCTGCCCTGAACTCCTCCAGTTGCCCCAGGTCCCCCTAGAACAAGTCTACTGACTTTTTGCAAGTATGACCAGTTGGTTTTTTGTTTTCTATAGAGAGGTCATTCTGTCTTCACTATTTTATGAAGCTGTGCTTCTTTTCTGTGACACTACCATGACAAATACCTAATTACAGGAGCTAGATAGCATTTCTTAAGACCTATTAGCAACATCTGGCTTACTAATGGCAGGTAGCTGCTTCAGTCTCTTTATTACACACTTGCTGCTTATTCAGTCAATTGAGAGAGAGAGTCAATTGCAAGTAATGTGCTTAACTGGCAAATCTGGGGAATGGGACTTTTGCCACGAGGAATAACTTGGGCTTTCAGGCTCCTGGCATTGGTGGGCATTTGCAGCTTGTCTTTCTTCTCTGAGGAAGGGGAGGACAGTGCATGCCCAAAAATCTTTCCATGTTTGGCAGCAATACACCAGGACTTTTGAAATACCCTGTGGAATATTTTTGCCTCAGAAGTACTGACATATACATAATTGTTTGGGTTTAAGGATTCTTTTTAATACTTTGTTTTTTAGTCTAGAGAGAACCTACAGTAAGATTTTGCCTCTCTGCAATTCCGCACCGGGACTGGAGAAGCTCAGATGCCTTGTTTAAGCTGTGCGTGTTTAAAACTAACAGCAGGGACTGAAGTGAACAGTGAAGCTCTTGTACGGTGCCAGGAAGTACTGACACAGTGTACTTCCTCAATATTACAATATTTACATTGTGTTAATATTTTAACAGTGGGGGTTGATGGCAGGCAGAACACCTTTTTTCATTGTTTGTAGCTCAGTGAAGCATTTACAGTTTTTCAAATTTTATTTTGACGTACAAAAGCAGAAGAGATGTTCCCCAGCAGTAAAAAATTCAGATCCTACAACTGGCTAGAGCTCACTCTTTTGCAGAGGAAAATTATGATTACTTCCAGGTCAAAGAATTACGTGAAAACTAATGTGGTTATGTATGTGGGATCTGTTGCTTCACATGGGATAAAAGCCCAGTGTAGTCCCAGCTTAGCTGCAAAGATGTGGCAAGAATAAGCTCTCTCCAAGTGAATGTAGTTTGTATATAGCTGCACCTGAAAAGGTAAATTGCATTTGTCCATTTTGATCGGATTAATATATGCATTGTATGTAAAGTCCAAAGTCACTAGCAACTAATATGAAAACAGGGAAAAGAGAATGTGAAATGGCTAAACCTCTGTTTTGTCTAAGTATATGAATCTTGCTTTAGGATTTGGGACAACTTTGTTACATGACACCTCTGGAAAAAGGCTGAATTTGTTGTTCAGCTCCAGAATGGAGTTGTGATACCGAGGTTTTATCATCAGCTCAGCCGCTGCCTTGCTTTGTGGTCCTAGACAGGTCCCTTAATTTTTCTATGCACTTGTTTCCTTTTCTGGGTGGGATTGTTTGGAGAATAATCAGTGTTTGTTTGGCAGCAGTGAGATTCTACCAGCGGGGATGTTAGGAGAGGTCAAAAATACTGTTTGGTAGTCTGTAACTCAGTTTGTAGTCCTTTAATACATTTTTATGAACTATTTTTAAAGGACTGAATAGTAGATTCTCCTGCCTGAAGTTTTATTGCACTATAGCAAACCAAACAAATTCTTGAGTTTTAAAAAGCAGAGATCTCTAGTGCCTTTGGATAAAAGTCAGAGGAAGTGGTCTGTTTATTAGAACCCCCTCAAATATGTATGTCCAGACAAAAATAAAAAATATCACGCCTCTAATGTTGTTTAAACCTGGGGAATTTATTTTTCGGGGAATGAAACTGCTTTCTCTTTCTTCTCCTAGGAGGAAAAAACCCCACATTTTGGCAGTTAAAATCCCCATCTCCATCTCTCTCTCATCCACTAATTCAACACTTCATCTTAGTGAAATTGAGTCTTCAAGGGTATGACGGTACTACCCTGTCCGAATTTACCAAGGTCAAACACTTGTGGTTCCACACTGACTTGGGGAACAGCTGAAGAAATTCTTGCCCCTAGCAGTTTGTTATTCCCTGTGGCTGGAATTTACACCTTCCCTTCTCTCCACACTCCTGCATCACCGGGGCAGGTTGATTATCTGAGTGCTCCTTAATCAGCTCCAGTGCACTGGCAGCCTCTGCCCAGGGGTGCCAGTAGGAGCACTCAGAGCTCTGCCCTGGGATGGACATCTTCATCCCTGCATCTGCAGTGGATACCCAGCACTGGCGACTTCTGGGTCTGTTCCCACTAGATTCACAAGAGGTCATGGACGATACCCTGCTACCAACTGGATTTATCCCATCTGAGCAGGGACTGTGACCTCAATGTGAACAAGCAGCAGCTTGTTTGGGCTGAATTTTCTGCTGATTATAACTGTCCCTGGGGTTTTTTTCTGCAGAGACCTTTGGTTCTTCTCCAGGTTCCTTTCTGCATCAATGAAGTTAGAGTTGCTGAGGTTGGTCTTGGTTTGGCAGATGTACTGAGTCTTGCCGAATTGTATCACGTCTTTGCACAGGAGGGAAGTCAGTTAAAAATCTGATCTCCCTGTATTCAGGCGAGAGCTTTTCTTTCCTAAACATTTCCTTTTTCAGAATACAGCTAACCTGAAAGCTAACCTGAGGATCTTACAGGTGCTGCACTTTGTGGCGTGGGGAAGACAGGCGAGCGCTGACCCTGTGTGTTGCAGGAGCTGCTCTGCCAGCACAGGGCAGGGATAGTTGAAAGTGAACACCTGCACCGCATGATGAACTGCACAATATTGCTTTTCTTAAAACGATCATTACATGAGCTGAGCCAGCAGGCTAGACAGAAGCAGAGGCTGTAGCTGGCTGGGGGCACGGCTCCACCCCACAGCTGGCGGGCCTCACACCCGTGGGGCCCTGGGGTGGCAGCCAGCACAGTAGCCAGTCCCTTTTTTGGCACTCTCCTGAGTGCTAGGTTGGAATCCTGCCTCGCTGCTGCATTCAGGGCAGATGGAAGAAGAGAGCCCTTATTCCCTTTCCCCTGTGAACTTCGTCTGCAGCGGAGGGCAGGATCTAGGCCTGTGCTTTGTGAGCCCGGTGTGTTGCGCAGGCATGTGCTGATATTTCTTTGCTGCGTGCTGACAGTTTGCTTGCTAACAATCCCAGCAAAGCTGCTAGCAGAAGTAGTGTGATCAAAGTGAAATTGCATGGTACTTTGTGTTCTGTTTTTCCAGCAGCTCTAGCCTGGTGAAATAAGATACCTGATTTGGGGGAGGGTGAGGGAGGGAGATAGATATAAAGCAGCCCCTTCCCCTGTAAAGTTTTAACGTGGAAAATTCAAACTTGCTTTGAAAATTTAAGTGTTGAAGATGTGTGTGTCTCTATATATCCTGTGTATATGCTTAAAAGCATATGTAATATGCATTTATAATATATGTATGCATGAATGGCATTGTGCCCACAGTCAGTTGTGCAGGTACAGGTGACATTTG